ATTCGTCGATAATGTCAACGGAATACAGGAGTGCACTGAAGTTGCGTGGTGGCACGGTATCTTCTCTGCACTTCACCAGCGGAGAACACGTGAACCAAACGGGTAAACTGAGCGCCGGATGTCCGTACTTAAAGGGACCCTCCCACCTTCAAAAAAGTTTATGAATTGGCATGAAAGTGATGTCGCTCGGTTCAGAAAGAGCGAAAACGAATATCTACCAAATTTCACCGAAAAATATTCACCGGTTTTCAAGACATTAGACTTTTACTTTTGTTTACTTTTTTGGGATCTCCGCTGTTTCTAGCGACTTTATTTTAGAAGTGCGGCGTTTGCGGCAGATGTTGCGCGCAAATAGCACATACCACCGCGTGCTACAAAACGTTTTAGTCAAACATTTGAAAATCGTTAGATATCTGCGCTGACGTCACACATTCAGAGGGGTATTCCTAAGCATTAGCCCCTCTGAATCAAAATGCTGCAATTTTGAAATTCAATATTTCCGATTTAAGGCATTTCTCGATGTTGTGAGTGCCGAAACCGGTAATTGTGAGCCAGGGACCCCATTTTGGCTATCTCAACTCAAATCTAATGTTAAGGTGGGAGGGTCCCTTTAATATCCCTCTCATCCAGACGCAACATTCGAATTTTATGTAGCCTGTAGGAACGCTATATAATGTCGTAAGCGTCGCCTTTGTACCCATTGTTGCCGTTATATATCATTATGCATCCTAGCCCTTCCACTAAGCATTGCATGGGCATTGGGCATCACAACATCTCAGCATATCCACGAAATGCGGATGGGTTCGCAAAAAATGCCATGGCGTCAGTGCAGACTGCAGACGTCTTCCTGGATTGCACCGGCGCCGAGTATGGTCGTCCCGTTGTTCGGCTGGCGCGTTCACAACTGTTCGATGTGGGTCACCCTGTGGCAGTTTGGACTCGTGTGACGGAGACGGTATAGGTTATAGAGGAGTGGCGCTGTGCTGTCTGCCAGCGCCGCCCTTTATATGGCACTGGCACAGACATGGATCGAAGGCGAGCCGTTCCACGTCATACAGATGTCTGCCCTGTGCAGTTCATTGCAGTTCACAGTGCCATCGTGCACAGCGCCGCTCAATCGCTGGATCGAGTACCTATGGTAGTTGAAAACAAATAAATACATAAGTGGAGATTCTTCCACCTTTGCAATACATTAACAATAGAGGTGGCAAAATGTGGACCCGAGGACCCGGTCCAAAGAACCAGTCTGGACCCATATGGGTCCAGACCGGTTCCTGGGAACTTTCTGACGGGTCCAACTGGGTCCTACCATAAACTATACATCGTGCACACTACACATTATTGCAAAATATGAAGTGAATGAAGTGAATGTTTCTTTACACACAGTAGCTCATGAGTATTCCCAGTGGAAAAAAGGTTGTTTTACATTATGCCACTTATGATACCTACAAGTAAAACAACCTGCGGTTATTAGTATTAATTGACTTTTGGGGACCGGGTCCAAATGGTTCCGATTCCAACTTAGACCGGGTCCAACTGGTTCCACAAATGTCCAGTCGGGTCTGGTTCGAGTCCGGTTCCCAAATTTTTCATCTTTTGCCACCTCTAATTAACAATACCTACCTAAAATGTGGACTTTCAGGTTGCAGCACCGCAAGACTGACAAGTCCAATGGCATAACAAAGGAGAAGCCATCGCTGCTTCAGGTGCAAGCCGCTGTTTGCATCAGCAATGGTGAACAGTTCGGAGACCGGAGTTTCATAAATTATAATAAGCCCCGTTACCTACGTCATTCCCCACCAATTCCGTATACGCGTTGATATGCCGCTGGTCGCTCGATCATCTGCCAAACTTCATGAGAGAATACTGGGGGTGCATGTTTTATATGCGGGCCGCGGCACGATTGAGAAATGCGCGACATGTGTCCGGAGGACGGCGGGCTGTGACGCGGCACCTTGCAGTGACGTACGGCCGGCGGCGGCCGATTCCAGCCGCAGATTGTCTGCACTGACTGGCGACTGCCGTCCTGAGTCACGGCGCGCCGGCCGCCCATCGCCGGCTATCGGGCCGTCGGACGCATGCCGAGTGGCGGCCGGCGACATGCACCCGCGCGGCGCCCGGCCGCCGCGCTGACGACTTGATCGGATGTCAACAGCCGCCGGTCGACCATCAGTCAGACGCATTTACGAAACGACACACAGCACCGCCCGCTCGTCATAATGAGACAATAATATCATCGGTTATAAGGCGGCATATGATCAGACAGTAATTTATTGCAGTTGTTTCCACTTAACGATTCGAAGTAATATTTGCATTAGTTAGCACCTAGAAACAAGCTCATAACTCAAATCGCACTACGTTTTATGTGCGAGGCATGACCGAAATACGCCTCTCGATTATGATAAACTGCAGCATGCTGATTCTCTCTGGACTCTGAGGCATGCCCGCTGCATTATAGAAAGTGTCGGCGGGTCGCTGGCCGGCCGTTTGGCCAGAGGAGATGAAGCTGATACCCATCGTTACACATACGGCTGCCATCGATCGTAACTCGCAATGGTAACTCGCCCGGGAAGGGGCGCCGCCCGGGAAGGAGCGGGTCACGACCCGGAGAAAGACGGCGGGGGTGGCGGCGGAAATAGCACGGCGATGATGCGGCGCGCGGTCGGATGGGAGCGAGACGCGTAGAGGAACGCCAGAGACGACTCATTCCCAGCACCCACCTACACCTGGTCCCAGCCTAGTGCCGGCGTTCTGTCTGACCGGGGCCGTTGGTCACGGCTGGAACCGACATTCCGCCACGGTCGTTCTTGTAGCACACGGCCGGCTCTGAGCCGTGACAGTCGGCGACGGAGACCGTTTGTGGCCGTGAGCGGTGCCGCATTCCGGCCCGGCGCCGTGAGCATGTCATTGAGTGCCGGGCGGGTGGATAGCGGGGACTGGCCAAGGCGCAAACGAGTCCCATCGTCTGCCAACGCATCGCACATGGCCACAGATCACCACGAGCAGCAGCGCTCAGCAGCCACATCGGCCATCCTGCCGACCGGCCGGGACGGATCCAGAGGGGCCGTCGTGCCCGTTCAGAGCCGATCCCAGAGTGACCAACGCCCCAAAAGAGGACCAGGGTGACCACTGACCGGCGCTAACCGACAGGACAGACACCATGGTGACCGGCGCCCCCGGGCAGGGCCGAGCCCAGTCGACCGGCGCGCCCGGCAGCACAGACGCCCGAGTGGCCGACGCGCCCGACACGAGACACCTTCCGGACAGACGGGGTGGAGGAAAACCGACACTAAGCCAGTCAGGGCGTGCGGCTTATACAGTAACTATACAGAGAACCAGAAAATGCGCCGATCGCGGGGTGAGATAGCCGGCCCGCTATGGCTGCTGCGGCGACCCCCCTTCTGTCAAACATCTCCCACTCGGGGATTCCAGGCTCCAGCTGTATGAGCATTCAGCCGTTCTTTTTAATAATTAGAAGGACCGAGTCTTGGGCCTGCGTCATACTCATGCCTAGGCACTTATCGCATACTTTCGTCGCACAAATGGAGACTCGCCGTTCGTCACAGTTTCGTCGCACAAATGGAGATTCGCCAGTTATCTTACAAAATATTGCCTAATCGAGTCACAGTCAAAATGTTAAAATATAATAGATTCAAACATTGAATGTCGATACGGTGAAACACGAAATGGAGCATGCAGAGCAAGCTGACGGAACGATTGGGCTCCGCTGTGGGTTTGGGTGCCGAGAAGAGAAGTCAACTTTGAAAAGTTTAGGCCCAAAACTTTGGTCTAAATACGTTTCAAAATGGAAAAGCTGGATTATACAAAACGTCTACACCCTTACTGCAACAAAACCGAGAATGTAGAGAACCGAGCAACCTCGATTATGTGAACATTTGCTAACTCATTTATCATATTTTCGAATATCTACTTATTGTAGAGTGAAAATTAAAACAAAATGCTAACCAGGTTGCCCCGACCTAAGCAAAGCCCAGGATTTTCACCTTGTTAGTTAACCGTTTAATGACGATATACCCAATACCAATCCATGACCAGATAACCGGGATTCGAGATGTACCTTGGTGGACAGCCAGCAGTGCGCACCCACTCAAAAAGCCAAAAGACATGCTGTGGTTGTGGACGACTACAGCGAATGCCAGATACACCTTCCACGTACTATAGGGCACCTGGGAGCCGTCTCCCGTCCATAGGTAGGTTTCCCGAGAAATGACGTCTGTATCTCGCCCCATCCACTGAACAGAAGGGTAGTCGGTGTATGGCCTGGCGATGACTCACGAGCATAGATCAGAGGTGACTGCTAGTCGCAGGGTCTCCCCGACTGTGTGCGCGGTACGGTACGGACACCTGCCCAGCTCCGTGGGACCGAGAGACGGTCTCTCTAACCGAGACATCGCCTCTCACCGAGGTGAGGATCGCGCCCATGAAACGCTGCGGCGCGGGGAGCAGACAGTGCGGTCTACGGGGACGGCTGGAAGCAGCCGACACAGCTGTCCCCAGCTACCCTCGCAGCTGCCCCGTGGGAGGGCTGCGTGCTCGGGTTTCGCCACCCGTCACCTCCCCCAGACTGAATACACCGGTCGTGTCGCAACTGGAGACCTATCGACGGCCCATCTGGTAAAACTGCCTCTGCCCACGCGATCCCGTCCCGCAGACGACAAAGCGCATTCTAATTGACGAATGATTTGTGACACGTCTATGTAATCAGTTTATCTGATGCCTCGATCAATGAAAGAATAAGGCTGTGCAGGCATGTAGCGATGCGCCTGAAGCACGCTGCAATCACTAGGAACACACCAATGGCAAACCATAGCAAACACTTCATGAAAACACATGGTTTCCCCTACATCAAACCCAAACGAATGCAAATGGGGAGGGAGGGGGGCTGAGCGTCCATATTGTGCCAAGGATCAGACCGCGATGATCTCGGCAGTTCGATGGGGTGACCGGGCCCTGGTGTGTCGGTCGGCGTCGGTACTCACCGGTCGGTCGGACGGCGCGTGTCGGCCGGCCCCGCCTGCTCCCACACGTGCCGCGCTACTGCCGGCCCCTGCCGACCGGTTGCCGCAGCCGCGCCGGCCGAACGGCGCGGGGGCGGCGGCGGCGGCGGCAGCGACCCCGCGCGCCGCGCCCGCACGGCAGACCACAGAAACGCCAGCTCTCCACCTGACCGCCAGGTGTCCCGCTGGCTTACAACAGCGCCAATCGCTTGGTTCTACAGGTCCGCACAGGTGACCGGAGTTCTCTGAAATGGCCAGGACAGTGTGAGGAAGTCATCGGGACAAGGAGTGTTGCGAAAGGATAGGAGAGAGAGAGAGAGAGAGAGAGAGAGAGAGAGAGAGAGAGAGAGAGAGAGAGAGAGAGAGAGAGAGAGAGAGAGAGAGAGAGAGAGAGAGAGAGAGAGAGAGAGAGAGAGAGAGAGGCGATGCGAGGATAATACCGCAGTGTGCGAGTCTTACAGTCTGACAAAGAATTACGTAGATGGGAAAGGGATGACAATGGAACGGAAGGCGAACAGGTTATCAAGCAGAGGCATAAGTTAAACATGATCAACACCTAAACTCCCAGCTGCATCCAGAACAGCCCCTCCTTCCCTTGTTCATATTGTTTCGCCCCACTAAAGCAGCCGAAGAGTGTCCCATTCGAGGTGATCGTTCAGCGGGTCGGGTTGCCTGTCCCATCGTGGTACGCCCTTCCAAGTCAGGACTTCATTCCCTTTATCTCCTTTCATTCCACGACCCTGTACCGGCCTAGTTTGTACATACATGGCCTCAAACTGTTCAGTTGCTTTGAGGTCAAAACGCAAAACCACAAGTCGGAACAAAAGCACAAACAAATGATGATGAGTAGCTTTCTGTATTGATGCACAGACTCACACAATTCACTGGCACGCTTACCAGTACATACGATTCAACTGATTTCAAACGTCTCAAAAACATGTGCACCAATCTGGTGATTTACGTCAGCCAATAGACGTCCAGGCGCTATCTGGTTGTAATAAGTCAAAATGTGCATATTACCCTATTATAATGTATCAATTAATCGAAAATAAAACATTCCAAAACAAACATCTGTAAACAGCATGGCATTGACAGATATTACCTCCAGTAAGCGGCAATCTCACACCACAATCCAGGAATACATAAACTGGCTCGACACCTAGCTTGTTAATCATTCCCTTTGATGACATTACGAAAATTATCTTATCATCAGTCATCACATACCTTCGGAATGTTTTAATCAAAAAACTCACAGTAAGCATATTCTGCAATTATTCACGGTTATACTTTCTAACATTGATCTAGCAACTTTTCTCACTGAGTGGCCACTGGTACCGTCAACAGGTCAGAGGGACCCGCAGCCGCCGCCGGTCTCCGCTGGTGACTGGTACGGTACCCTGGGGTACCGCAGCCTGCCGGTGGGGGGGGGGGGGGGAGGGGAGGGGCCACCGCCGCCGGTCTCCGCTGGTGACTGGTACGGCACACAGTGGTACCGCAGCCTGCCGGTGGGGAGGACCCGCCGCCGCCGCCGGTGTCCACTGAACTCATGGTGCCCAGTACGGCACACAGTGGTAGCGCAGCCGGCCGGTGAGGGTCTCCGCTGATGCCCAGTACGGTACACAGTGGTAGCGCAGCCTGCCGGTGGAGGAGGACCCGCCTCCGCCGCCCACCACCGCGTTACTCGGCGTTGGGCACGTGCAGCGGCTGGCCGCGCGGGTCGTCGAACCGGTCCATGGTGGGCACGCTGGCCAGCATCATCAGCGACCAGACGAGCACCAGCAGCAGGATCAGCGACAGGAACAGGCCTGACCAGATCGGGATCGTGAAGAACGTGGTGCAGTCCCAGGCGCGGCCGAACGTCTCGGGCGCGTCGTCCGATAAGAACGCCTGCACCTGGTGACGGACGGGCCGCGGACGCCGTCAGACAGGGAACGGGAACACCGACCGACCGCCCGGAGCACCCACACACGACCGGCCGCCCGGAGCACCCACACGCGACCGACCGCCCGGAGCACCCACAGACGACCGGCCTCTCGGATATGCGACCGACCGCCCGGAGCACACGGCGCAAAGTAGAAAACAATCAACCACACTCGCAACTCTGCCATCAGAAGCGATAAGAAAAGAGTCCACGTTAAAACACAACAGAGGCTTAAGGCCTGGCTACACTATGTTTCTGCATGCGTTTGTTTTGCGGGTTTGCGTGTTTTGCGAAATATCGTTCTAGAAAAAAAAACGATATTACGTTTGTGTGATTTTTAAATATCAAATTTTAGTTAATATGAGTTATATTAACTTTTGTATATAACTAATACACAACTTAAGTAAAAACTATAATGAACTATATTATTAACCCTCGCCCGCACATGAAGGGGTTGGTTGCCACCCCCGCTCCCCTAGGTAGTTAGTTTTTCTGCTCTGCACTTAACATTTTTAAAGCTAGAAGCCTGATTTTTTTTCGCATGGCTGCTTCTCTATCCTTTCTAAGCGTCCACTGAAAATTTCAAGTTTCTGTGGCTTTTGGTTTCGGAGATATGGCCTGTCATGTCATTCATTCATTCAGGTCATGTCATGACCCAAATGACCAATAAATACCTAATATCTTGCGTTGGCTATGGGTCTTGTGAGCTTTTGACACCTTGATTTCGGTATTATTATTATTATCATTTTGCTAGTCCTACCTCCCACCTATCATGGAACATGTCATTCGACGATGTACAGATGTCAGGGTCAAGGTGAAGGTCAACCTAGGTCATCTAAGTACATTGCATTTTAGGCTAGCTGAATTTACTTTTCGTGAAGTTTTTTTTTACTGCATTCTTGGCATGTAATAGGGACACACAAACCAATCGGTGCACACCTCAGTACACACACAGACACACACAGACATAAAACACATACAATTGACCTTGACCTAACTTGACCTGAAATGACCGCAGCCAGTAAAAACCTAGTCGGATAGTGTGACAAAGAGCTGCTCTAGCTGGATTGACACCACAAACGGCAGCGACATCGGTATATGATGGGCACCGCACGTGACATTCCAACGGTGGCCCCAAACAGCAACATTTGTTAGTTTGACCTGACCTGGAAGGTCAATGATTGACCTAATGTGGTAAAATTGGGTACACTCGGGGGCGATTGATGTTCCACCACTCCCTACCCATCGGGCTCCCATGGCTCCCGCACTGGCTGCTGCCAGTGTTGCCTGCCCTCAGCACTGGTCAGCACTGCCTGCCAGTGCCAGTGCTGCCAGTGCTGCCAGGCAGCACTGGCTGCTGCCAGTGTTGCCTGCCCTCAGCACTGGTCAGCACTGCCTGCCAGTGCCAGTGCTGCCAGTGCTGCCACTGGCGGCAGCCAGTGCTGAGCCATGGGAGCCCGATAGGTAGGGAGTGGTGGAACATCAATCTGCCCCCGAGTGTACCATTGGATTCGTCTCTTCCCAAAGAAACTGTTGGTCTTTGCCGCGAAGCTCTATCTCCACTCTCCAGCATGAGCGAAATAGCGGGGGGGGGGGGGGGTGGCAACCACGATCCCCCAAATGTGCGTTCTAGGATGGGAAAATGGCATGTGCGGGCGAGGGTTACTTACTTTTTTCTAGAACGATAATACGCAAAAAACGCAAAGCCGAAAAAAACGCACGCAGAAAACGCATAGTGTAGCCAGGCCTTTATAGTGTGACGAAAATACCGACTTCCCTGTCGCGAACGGTTCGCTTTGTTTACGATCGTGTCGAGCATCAAAGCACACCGGCGGGTGAGCCGCCACTCGGACAGCGACACCTACCTGGAAGCCGGGCAGCTCCAGCGCCGAAAACGCCACGCCGAAATCCTCGGTCAAGTTTTGCCTGGACAGCATCCAGGAGCGGTTCGTGCAGTGGTAGGAGAACTCCATCGGCGCGTATACGTTGCTAAAGTCGAGCGGCTCCACCCTGTCGATGGTCTCGTTGTCCAAAGTGATGCTGTAGGTTAGGGTGACCGGCTCCAGCGTCCAGGAAGAGACCTTGTTCTTGTCTGGATCATCGTTTCCCGACATCTTGGCCTGGAAATTGAGCCTGGAGCCGCGCACGCTCCCCGTTAGTCAGGTGCCCGCGGGGGCGGCGGACGGACCCTGAGTCCGCTCACCGTCAGGTGGCAGCCTCCGCCAGGGCGTATTTTAACATGTTAACTGGGTCGGCAATTGCCGACCCAGTCACGGAGAATGCCGACCCAGTGACAGCCGTTTGCCGACCCAGTTGCCTCCCCCTCTAGGATGCAGCACGCACATGCAGGCTAGGTGCCGTCATTCATAGTGAGGCTGCTGCCCTCCGAAATGATAATGCCGCCTCTTAAAGTGAAGCAGCCGTCTATAGAAAGTGATGATCCCGCAACTCAATGTGACAGTGCCGCCCCTAAATCTGTTAGTAGTCCCACTCAATGTACCTAATGGTGCCGCCCTTCTAAGCCATAGGCGGCGGAACGGGGAGGGCACCGGGGCACCGTGCCTCCCTTTGATTTTGACATTTCAACATTAGCCCTATGGGCGTTGCATGGAAAGAATGGGACCAAAAGTCGGCAGTGCCCCCTCTTAACTGAAGGTGTTCCGCCGCTACTGTTCTAAGCATCTGTGGAGCCCCGCAATGTGATGATACCGCCCCTCAAGAAGATGATGCCGCCTCTTTCAGTATCGGTGGCGCCCCTCAATAAGATGGTGCCGCCCTCAAAGTGCCGGTGGCGCCCCTGAATGTGATGGTGCTGCCCGCCAACGAGTCGGTGGCGCCCCTCAAAATGATGCTGCCGCCCCTTAAAGCGTTGGCGCCGCCCCTTATAGTGTCAGTGACGCCTTTCGAAGTGTCGGAGGAACCCACCAATATAATGGTGCCGCCCCTCTAGGTATCCACATAGCCCCTCATTGTGATGGAGCCGCCCCTCAAGCAGACGATGCCGTCCCTCAAGAAGATGATGCCGCCCCTGAATGTGATGGTGCTGCCCGCCAACGAGTCGGTGGCGCCTCAAAATGATGCTGCCGCCCCTTAAAGTGTTAGTGCCGCCTCTCATAGTGCCAGTGACGCTCTTTGGAGTGTCAGAGGAACCCACCAATATAATGGTGCCGCCCCTCTAGGTATCCACATCGCCCCTCATTGTGATGGAGCTGCCCCTCAAGCAGATGATGCCGCCCCTCAAGAAGATGATGCCGCCCCTTTCAGCATCGGTGGCGCCCCTCAATGTGATGGTGCCTCCCTCAAAGTGCCAGTGACGACCCTAAATGTGATGGTGCCTCCCGTCAACGAGTCGGTGGCGGCCTTCAAAATGATGCTGCCGCCCCTAAAAGTGCTGGTGCCGCCCCTTACAGTGTCAGTGGCGCCCTTCAAAGTTTTGGAGGAACTCATCAATACAATGTTGCCGCCCTCTAACTTTCTGTAGCGTCCCTCCATATACATAATGGTGCCGCTTCTCAAACCATCCGTGGCGCCCCTCAAAGTGATGGTGCCGCCCCTTACAGTGTCGGTGGTGTCTCCTCAAAAGTCAAGGTGCCGCCTCTCAAAGAAATGCTGGTGTCCCTCGAAGTGTCGGAGGCGCTCCTGAATGTCATGTTGCCGCCCCTCAAACCTTCCGTAACGCCCCTCAACGTCATGGTGCCCCCCCAATGTGCTCACGGCGCCCTTAAATGTCATAGAAGCGCCGGTCAAAGTGATGACTGTGCTCCTGGCAGTGTCGGTGGCGCGGGCCCCTTATAGCGTCGGTGGCGCACCGAACAGTATCGGTGGTGCCCCTCAAAGTGATGATGTCACCCTCAAACAAACGGTGACGCCCTTCGAAGTATCGGAGTCCCTAAATATCATACCTATTGCCACCCATTAACGATCTGTAGCGCCCCTCCATATGAAGGAGCCGCCCCTTAAAGTATCCGCGGCGGTCCTTAAAGTTACAGTGCCGCCCCTTACAATGGGGTGGGTGGCGTCCTCAAAATAAAAGTGATGTTGCCCCCCCCCCCCGAGTAATGTTGCGTCTCTTCTAAGTATCGGAGGCGCTCCTCATTGTCATTTTGCCCCACATTACTGCGCACATGGCGCCCTTCAATGTAATGGTGCCACCCCCAAGGCTCAAAGAGATAACTGCGCTTCTCACAGTGTCGGTGGTGCCCCTCAAAGTGGTTTAAGTGCCCTAAAAAGTTGGTGGCGCGCCTCAAAATGATGCTGTCGTCCCTTAGCATATCTGCAGCGCCTCCAAAATGATAGTGCCTTCCCTTAACCGGCGCCGGGCTGAGGTTTGAACCCCCCTCCCGACCCCTATAACTTGGCTACTAGGCCACGTAGCAACACGCGGTAAGCGGCATTCGAAAGAGTGTCAAAAACTACTTGGTTCAGTTTGTTTACCGTACTTTGGTTAGGTCAAGTCAAATGTCAAATATCAGGTGACCAGAGGTCATCAAAGGTGAAATGTGGGTGAAATGTTGTCTGTTTCAACATTTATTGACAAACTGGCGCATAACTCGGGGAAGAATAGAACTACAGCACCGCGAAAAAAGCGCATTCGATTGCTCTTCAACGTTCCTATAAAGTCCTCAGACTTGACCTAACATCAACGGCTTAACCTCCAGAGCACAACTAGTTTAACCCGTGCCGGGCTGGGGAGGGTTGGAGTGGACAGTGGACCCCCTCCGCCCCTCTACTGAGCTGTTTTAACCCTATTAGTGGCAGGCTCCTGGCTACCCCTATTAGTGGCAGGGGGAGGCTGTTTACGACCCCCCTTGATATCTCGAGATCTAACGGGCCGATTTTCAAAATTCAAACGGCATTCGATTTCGCTCAACGTGATCTACATTTCTAAAAAATGAAAATTAAAAAATGTCAATAGGGGGGGGGGTAGAGGAGGGTAAAAACGGGCAAATTGCAGATACATTTTAGACTGTTTATCACGGCCAGGTTTCTGAACCAATCTTAACGCAACTTTTGCCGATCGATAGAGAATGAACCAGGAATTCACATGGATCCTAAAAATATGCATTTTCAAAAATCATAGGCGGATACAGATCATTGAGATTGGGGGTACTCAAAAAGTATAGTAAATAAGGTTTTTGTTGGTACTGTTTCTGAAAAGGGTGGTAACGGTCTTGTTATGTTACAATTTTCTTATGAGAGAACGACTACAATTGTATTGGTCATGCATAGGCGGTGTCAGGGCACCTATGTTGGGAGGTAAAACATAAATTAAATTAAAGGATTAAAACATAATCCTTTTTGGACGCCTGGATCCGCCTATTATAGCAAAAACGTGTCAAAAGAGGAAGTACAATAACTGTATATGTTATCACATGATACCTTTCATTCACTGTTCGTAAAACTGGTGCAGCATCGTGATCTTCGCCCAAATGACTCGCTTCACGAATAGGACCCCCCAATTCCCAGTGCTCTGGAGCCGCCCCTGGTAAAGTTATGAACTTGAAATTTTCAGGGAATGTGCCCAATTTAGTTTTAGGAAAAGTCAGAAAATTTCAGCATCGTAGCTTCAGCGGTTTCGGAGATATTCCCGAAAAAGCTGAGGGGTGGATAAAAACAACCCCCTGCCACTAATCGGGTTAATGAAGAACCTTTTTACTGTAATAATTATTGACTCACGAAAGTTATGACATTGTTTTTTCAGTACTGTGCTCCTCTCGTCGAGATACGTCGAATGAACTATAATTTGACATTCAAATGTCATTTGGGAAATTTGAGCTCAGGTCCAGGTCATGACCTGACTGGTAAAGGTCACGTTGCATATCAGTCGATTTGTATCGTCAAACTGAAATCATCTAAGGTGTTTTCATCGCTCAGGCATGTCGCATGTCTCTATCAGAAGTTATTGAAAAAACTGCTGGAGGCCTTCCATGACCTGACATGAACTCAAGGACATAACGAGGGGTCGTGGGTGGCAATTTTCCGATTAAGTGTTTCATTTTTAATTGTTTTATGATGTTTAGATTCGTTAACTTTGACATTTGTCTACCTATAAAAAGAGGCATGCATGCCCTGATTTTCTCCCATTTCCTTATACCTAATGGAAGGGTCGCAAAATTGTCCTTACCTTCGGTCAAAGACATAGCAATTTCGAGACTTACATTTTATATATACAGGGTGGCGCCGGTAAATAACCGCAAATTTCAAACCTGTGTTACGAGGAAACTATTTAGTGCAAAGCAATAATTTTTTTGCATTCATGTGCCATGCTTTATGTAAATTGTTGTCCATAGCAAAAGGGAACGTTGCAGCTGAAGATGATAGCGGAAGAAATGAAAAGGCACGCGGTCATTGTGGCGCTTCACGCCGGCAGCGAGGCACCCCAGGTCGCCAACTTCCTCAGGGTCTACAAAAGCCATGATTATAAAGTCGAGCGGATCTTGGATGAGTCTGTGGGCGACGTTCCGTCTGTGGCAAAGCGGAAGAAACATCCCCGACGATCTGATGCCGTCAGAGACGACGATTTCATTGCAAAAGCCGAGAACATCGTCGACGACGACCAGACGTCGACGTCACCGTCGATGACGGTGACGTCGTGAAGCCCTGGATCTACCGAGTGGCTGAGGAAGGCCCTATGTGTTCCAACAAGACTCTGCACCCGCCCTCAGGCCAGGGTGACGCAGGAGTGGATGAGCGCCAACCTGCACAGCCACATCACGCCCGAGCTCTGGCCGCCAAACTCCCCGGACCTGAACCCGCTCGACTATTACGTGTGGGGCGTAGTCGAGAGGGACACTAACAAACACCCACACAACAATATTGACTCTATGAAGTCAGCCATCAAGCAGATGATGGTCAAGATGGACAAGACCATGCTGACCAAGGCCTGCGCCCGGTTCAGGCCGCGCATCGAGGCCGTCATCGACGCGGAGGGGGATTCATCGAGTGAATTCTGCTCGACAGGTCGCCATCAGTCACCCCAGTTCCAAGCTTTCATCCAATGTACTGACTTTTGTCAAAAAATTAATGTTTTGTGTGGAGCACATATTGTCTTCATTTATCAGCGCCACCCTGTATATACAGTTACACACTGTTTGTCTTATCAATCGCTTAAGTTATAAAGGGATCGTTCAGTCGGTGTATCTATGGTGAGCATTTCCCTGTTCCGTAGCTCAGTTGGTAGAGCACCAGACTCCCCGCATTGTCTTCGCTTGCGTTTTGTCCGCCGGCCGATCCGGAGAGAAAGTTACCGAGTGAAGATCATTTAAATTTCAAAAACTCAATGAAAATGTCACTGGGGTCACGAAAATATTTGAGTAGGTAGGTATACCATTCATTAATTTGGGGGGGGGGATGAACGTATCGTTACAAATCAATACGCTGTTCATTACGCGAGTAACTAATGAATAAAAAATGTATGACTTCATCCTTACTCCACCCGCTCTCCCTCTCCATAAAAAGAGAGTTAATTGTGTTGCATTTTATTAACCCTCGCACGACCAGGCCATTTCTCATAACACGAACGACCAAGGGGGGGGGGGGTTGTTACGACCCCCCCTGGCGTTTCGAAACGGAAGGTCGTAGAGCTTAGCGGAAAAAACCAACGGATTGCTCTCAACGAGATCTCGCGATTGGTGGTATATTTTTTGGTCCTAGGTCAACATTTGACCTACTTTTGACCGGTCAAAGGTCAAATTTTCGGAAAAATGGACTTTTTTTCAACTTTCGGCGGCGATTGCGGCAAAACGGTGGGAGATATCGACTTGAAACCTTCACTATCGTGTTCCTTGATCAATTCTCTATCGTTTGGTATGTATTTCGTTTCCCTAGCTCTAAAAATGGCGCGTTGGGAGCGCCGGAAGTCGGCAAGGTCACAGTCGGCGGCAGAAATTCGAAAAATCAAAATTTAAATTTTTGAAATCTGATTGTATTTTTGGATTTGGGAGGTCCATTTGCTCCCTATAGAAGCTAATATTGCTGCATATTCCCATTGAGGTGACAAGAATTAGCAAAATAGTGGTTCGGGCGCTTTTCAAAAATAGTACCGGACGCTGTTCCTCTTGTGACGTCATAGCTCCGTGACCTGACCTGACCCGGTCAAATTTCTTATACCATATGATAGCCAATACTTGCCCCAACATGCATGGGAAGTTTCATCACGATCCATCAACCGATGTCCGTACCACCGGCAGGAAACCTCGGGCGTTGGCACTCAGTTTGTGAAAATCCGGCCGGAGGCTGTACCTCTTATGACGTCATAACTCCGTGACCTGACATGACCCGATCAATTTTTTTTCGGCAAAAGATGCGCAAAGGTTGCCCCAGAGGGTATTGAAAATTTCAGCCCGCTACGACAAGCCGTTTAGCGTGCACTTCGAAAAAACCTCAGGGGGGGGGGGTTGATACAACCCCCCCCCCCTAGGCGTTCTAGGGTTAAGATGCAGAAAAATAGAGGCGTCAAAGGATATGGCCGAATATCAGCGACCCTTGCCGTGTAAGCAATGGGGCTTGCAATGGGGTATGACAAGTGGGGGTAATGGCCCCGTCCAGCGCCCATAAAGTGGGCACCACTCGTGCGACCTGCCGACCACTGTTCTAGAGCCATAAAACACCGTGAATGTTTTAAGCTTGACGATACGGATCGACTGGTATGCAACATGTTTTATTTATGGTGAGGTCATGAACTTGACCTCAGGTAAAATTTTTAAATTATTTTTTGTAAAGTCAAATTATAGTTCATTTGTCGCATTATGACACGAGAAATACTAGTTATATCCCGGAAAAATAGACGTAATACCGCTGAGCTTAGGTAGGTTGAATCTGAAATCATTACTTAGAAAGAGTTATAAAAGAACCGTCGAACGTGTCTTTTTTGTCATTAAATATCAGTAGGTATGGCGCCCCCCTCAGATGCCAAGTGCCGCCCCTATGAGTGCAAAATGCCGCCCCTAAATGTGATTGCCGACCCAGTGAAAATCCCTTAAAATACGCCCTGGCCTCCGCGGGTCGCCCTCCCTGCTCCGAAACCTCACATCCTGCGCCACACCATCACCCAAAATTATTCCTCAGATTAGTTTTCATTTTCAGCGATAACTATATCTTAAAAAAAAAATGAGGGAACACGGCTAAGAGGTGACCAACGCCTCGATAAAATGCCAAGAGTCTATGACGAGCCTCTACTATCATTACCTACGAATTAGCTTATCTGGTAAACAATATTAAGGATAAAAGGAAACTTTAAAATCATGTAGCCCAGCCAATGCAAAACTTCAGTATGACATGCTTCTTTTAAAAAGCAATGGAGACTCCATTGCACTTAGTCATTTCAGACCAGTTGATTACCAATTATGTCCATACGAACGAAAGAGAAACAAGCCTCTTCAATATAACGGAAAAATCTCAGTATGAGCGGCCCGGTACGGCCCAGCCTGCGCTTTTGGAGGGCTTAGCCTTATATCAAGACAATACTAAAAGACTGACATTTCAATTTTCCTGCAATAAGAATGAATAGAAGCCCTTTCCTCATTACTAAAGGAAGCCGAAAAAGTCCAAAATATGCTTTCGGCGACGGACCTTCTTCTGTGAAATCCATTGAAGAATGCCGATATCACCAGCAAACTTTCAGCACACCCTCTTCAAGATCACATTGTAAAAAATCATTCCATTTGATTTAACAGATGCACGCTTGGCACGGAACATATACTTTGGCGTTTTTCGCCTTCCTTTATGAACAAAAAGCCAACTATTCACTCTTTATTGCAATCATCATAATAATAATGTCTAAAAAAGTTGCAGACCATCCTTTTTTACAATACCCTGAAAAGCGTGACCAAGGGGTATACTTCGTAGCGCGCATCAAGCTCTGCTTATAGCGGGATTCGACACAGTCCATTTGTCCATTCAACGATTTGAATTCATAAAAAAACTTCAAAACTGTAGAGGTGACAATTCTTCTCGCAACCCATTTAATGACCGAAATGCAAAGCGTGACGTCACTTTAACATCCTTTCCGGGTGAGCTACCACGACCTTTTTTTGTTACTATATGGAAGGCGTACTGAAAATTTAGTGGCGAAACGACATTCCTTTAGGAGATACCTTATAGGTAACAAAACAAGGAGCGTTTCACCCCCCCCCCCCTTAGGAGTTTCGATAATGAAAGACTGCATCATGTACAGTTACATATACTTACTGGAGGTCGATATTGGCCAGGGTAAGCGTGTGCTGATCGTGGTCTTTCGGACCAATATCATTCCAAGACAGCGTCACAGTTTGACTGGAGTCAGATGCGTTGCAGTCGGCGGCGAAGGTAGCGTTGCCCAGATCCACTCTCCAGCTGAAACACAACACATTCAGCTCAAGGCGTGTAACAAAATACTTTTACAAATGCTCATCAAACTATCGAAAGAAAAGGCATGCTGCTGTCAAACATAACAGCTTTCTTTTAACCCAGCGGCTGCCACCCTCAAGCCGCTGAAGGGGGAGGGGAGGCAAATAGTTACCCCCCCCCCTTACTTCTTCTCAAATTCAAAATACAAATTCTTCTTACGATATCTCCGACGATATCGTCGCTATGCGAAGAGAGAAAGAAACGAAACTTTGCACACATATTTCTAAATAACTAGCCGAGGTCCTGCCCAAATTTGGTGTCGATCCAATTTGAAATGACGTCACAGTGACGCCAGAGGCAGAATTATAGATTGGCGTTGCTCAGTCTCTACGGGAGAAATATGACCAGTATAACGCCTTTTGGGGCGATTAACGGAGCGAGCGAGAGGGTGGGTCTTGCACGTGCGAAATTGCGAGGGGGTACCTCCAACTGACTTGTGCACGGCACCCTACTAACTGGTCTCTAGCGGTGTGCCAAATTTGAGCACAATCGGCTCAGCCGTTCTCGAGATCTGGAAGCGGCACCCTGCACGTGCGCACGTGCAAAATGGGTCCCAACTGACTTGTGCACGACATCCTACTAACTGCTCCGTAACCGTGTACCAAATTTGAGCGCAATCGGTCCAGCCGTTCTCGAGATCTGGAATCGACCCCTGCACGTGCGCACGTGCAGCAGCACCCCAACTCTGGCACATGGATATGCAGTGCCTAGTGGGTGCCTACCTACATGCCAACTTTCAGCGCAATCGGCCAAGTAGTTACCGAGATATTGCAACAATTACAAAACGGACACCTCTTCGTTTTGCACGTGGCACGTGCATAAGGGGTCACCCACATGCATCAGGAATAGTCCAATACTTGGTAGAAGGAATGAAGCTACCCTACAAAAATTACCGCGTGTAAATCGGTCAAGTGGTTGCTGAGATATAAGCCTCGCAAAAGCGTGACCACGGCCGGCCGGCCGCTCATACTCAGAAATTTCCGTTAATCTAAGGAAAGACTACGCTCGCTTCGCTCGCTCCGTAATAAATGGTATATATATATATATATATATATATATATATATATATATATATATATATATATATATATATATATATATATATATATATATATATATATATATATATATATATATATCCGATCACATATTCAACCGATCACTGGTAAGGAAGTAGGAACTAGGTGAAAGTGTGTTTAGATGTGTCGGGTGCTCAGCTCATTTACAGTGGCGTTTCGCTTTTTTAAATATAGATTTCTGGGGGGATCCAGAGCGTCGTAAGCCTCGTCGTAGCTGCGACGTGTCGCAAGTTGTGTAGTAAGTCGTTTTTGAAGGGATCAATTGATGAGTAGCGTTACTTAAGTTGTAAAGTCTATCGCAAATAGCCTGATTTGCGACACAGCTTACGAATTTGAAATAGCAGTCGTAAGTTGTGTCGCAAGTTGACCCTTGCCTTGAGGAAGAGGTCACAGGTCACAGGTCATTCGGGTCATGGTCACGAAATTTACATGGTAGGTGCAAAATTGTTTAAACTTTAGATCCTGAAAATTTGGTTGCAATCCGTTGACGCTAACGCGAGTTATAGAGCTTGAACTGACGGGTCGTCTAGGAGGCCTCAATCGGTGCCAGCGAGAGTGTTGAAAATGGTGCATAGTATGTTATATTCACATTTATTGGGGTATTCGGGGATATGAAGTAGCCTAACACCATTCCAGCAACTACTGGCGAATCCAGAAAGGCGGTCTTGGACGTTGCAAGGGGCATCTCCCAAAATATTCTCCCCATTCCAAAAACGACGTGTCCCAGCTGACCCCGATGACCTCCAATGAGCTCTGTGATGACCCCAAGTTGACCTTTTTGACCTGGCCTGTCCCAGATGACCTCCGTGACATCCTATTGAGCTCTCTGATGACTCCAAGCTGACCTCTGTGACCTGACGTGTCCCAGATGACCCCCATGACCTCCAATAGAGCTATGTGATGACCCCAACATGACCTTTGTGATCTGACGTGTCCCAGATGACCTCCGTGACCTCCAATTGAGCTCTCTGATGACTCCAAGCTGACCTCTGTGACCTGACGTGTCCCAGATGACCTCCATTTGAGCTCTGTGATGACCCCAACTTGACCGCTGTGACCTGGCGTGTCCCATATGACCTCTGTAACCTCTAAGTGACCTCTATGATGACCCCAAGCTAACCTCTGTGACCTGACGTGTCCCAGATGACCCTCATGACCTCCAATAGAGCTCTGTGATGACCCCAAGTTGACCTCTGTTACCTGACGTGTCCCAGATGACCTCCGTGACCTCCAATTGAGCTCTCTAGTGACTCCAAGCTGACCTCTGTGACCTGACGTGTCCCATATGACCTCCAATTGAGCTCTCTGATGACCTTTAGTTGACCTCTGTGACCTGACGTGTCCCATATGACCTCTGTGACCTCTAAGTGACCTCTCTGATGGCACCAAGCTGACCTCTGTGACCTGACGTGTCCCAGATGGCCCCAATGACCTTCAATTGAGCTCTGTGATGACCCAAGTTGACCTCTGTGACTTGATGTGTCCCAGATGACCTCCGTGACCTCCAATTGAGCTCTGTGATGACCCTAGGTTGACCTCTGTGACTTGACGTGCCCCCAAGTTGCCCTCTGTGACCTGACGTGTCTCAGATTACCTCCGTGGTCTCTAATTGAGCTCTGTGATGACCCCAAGTTGACCTCTGTGACCTGACGTGTCCCAGATGACCTCTGTAACCTCCAATTGTGACCTCCATCTACAACTTTCTTACCTCTCTGTGACCTCAAACTCTCGGAACTCATTTCTTCTAAAGCATAGATTCTAGATGCCCTATAGCCACGAATCTCCTGTGATCGATCCCAAATTTTATGGCAAATCACGTGAGCGTTAGCAACCACAAGTCACCCAGTTAATACAAAGCTTCAGAATCAGAGAACATGCTTGACCTTGCTGTCTCATAAGCTCGCAAACCAGAAAGGCGAATGTTCCTTTATGCGTGATAGAGTTTTCGACCTTACTGACGTTTACTACGGGATCAGCTGATCGTGTAGCCTTTTAAATTCTCGAGTAAAGCGGGTATTTAAGCCTCGTCGCAGCTACGTTCTGTCGTATCCTCCGACAAACCCCTCTTTCCTCAACATCCCTCCTTTTTCGCTACGACACAACTTGCGACGGGACATGTGTCGTAACTTGCGACGTGTCGTAGATGGACTTGCGACGCCCTGGATCCCCCCGGCCTTAGTCCGAATCTTTTGAATGGAAGGATTTACAAGGACAGAGCCCCCGCTAAGCCAAGCTTGTCGCGTTGGCCCTGCCCTCTGCCTTCCAATCGCGCAATTCCTGTTCTACAGCCGAATTTAGAGTCCGAAGTTTAACCCGCGCCCGGCTGGGGGGTCCTGGATTTCCACGCCCTGCTGGGGGGGGGGGGTGTTTGAACACCCCCCCTTGTAACTCGGCTCCTGGGCCACGTAGGGATACGCGGAAGGCAGCGTTCGAAAGAGCGTCAAAAATAATGACGAAATCACTTCAGTCAATTTTTGGTCAGGTCAAAGGTCAGGTCACCAGAGGTCATTGAAGGCAAAATTTCGTCGATTTCCAGGTCGAATGTCGAAAATTTCCAAGAAGCCAACGCATAACTCGAGAACCAATAGAGCTACAGCGCCGCGGAAAAGTGCATTCGATAGCCCTATTAAAGCTCTTTCTGAGTAATTCTCTCAGATTTGACCTAACGTCAACGGTTTTGCCTGCAGGGGGCAAAAATTGCAAAAATTGCCGATTTTTTCGGAAACAGTTTTTCTGCAATTACTTTTGACCCAAGCCTTGTACGAGCTTACTTTTACCGGCATTGTGTTCCTCTCGTCAAGACGCATCGAATGAACTATAAGTTGACCTTGAAAGGTCAACTTGAAAATTTGACCTCAGGTCAAGGTCATGACCTGACCGGAAAGGGTCATGTTGCATATCAGTCGATCCGTATCGTCGAGCTGAACACATCTAAGGCGTTTTCATCGCTCTAGCATGCCTCTATCAAAAGTTATTTGCGAAAAACTGTTAGATACCATTCGTGACCTAAGATGACCTCAGGGCATAAACAAGGGTCACGGACACCATTTTCATGTTCAGTGTGTCTAAGCCACTTGTAATTCGGTGTTTGGGAGTGTTAATAATGTCTTTTGTCCAAAAGAGGCGCATTTCAATTTTCTCCCATTATCTTATAATGGGGAGGTCGCAAAATTGACCTGACCTTAGGTCATCGATATCAAAATTCTGAGATATACATTTTGTACATGCTATTGCTCTTAGCAATCGCTGAAAGTTTCAAAGCGATCGGTCACTCGGTGTAGCTATGACAGACATTGAAACTTTTTATGAGGTGAGGTCACTTCAAGTGACCTGGTGACCTGACCTTGAATGACCTTGGTCTGAAATTTTCACAACATGTGTAGAATTGATGTATGATAAGGTGTACCAAAAACGGCGGCGCGGCGCTTTCGAGCCCAGACTGTTATGACCGGGAACGCGTGCTCTCACCACGTGGAGTCCAACGCTCCACCGACTGAGCTACGGAACCGGTTTCATGCTCAGTGACATCAGAAACGGTTCATATCGGAAAACGACAAAACTTTATGACGTCATTGTGACGTCATCTTAAGTGCTATAACCACCAAACTTTCCTCAAATATGTCCCAAGTATTCATTTGAAGCTATGCCAAGTTTCAAGTTCATATCTTATCAGGTTTGGAGATGATATCACACAAAACGTAAAAGAATGGGGCAACTTTATGCCCATTGCCCCCCCCCCCCCCCCCCAGGCGGCCCTTGGGTAGTCTTCATTGCATATCCGATCTTCCATAATCCGGAGTATCTCAGGCTGCGGTGTTTTTCCACCAGCTAAATGGAAGGTCGACCCGTGAGCAATGCCCACCACTCAGGGCGCGGCCGCGGTCGCCATCCCGGGCCGTACTCACGTGCTCCTCGCGCCCTTGTCGCCGGCCAACGAGAAACGAATCACGGCCGGCGCCGACGTGTAGATGAACACGCAGCCGAGATTCTCGAACTGAGACGCGTCGGCGGCGGATTCATCGGCCGCCTTCAGACTGCGCACCTTGCGCCGCTGCGCCTCGCCGCCCTGACAGCGGAGCGCCGGCCAGACCGGTGATCAGACCAGTGATCACACACACACACACACACACGGGCCGGTCACAGATCAGGCCCGGCCGGGGAGCGATACCACCACACCGTAACCAGCCATCAACAGTGGCAAGTCTTCAGGCTTTTAACAAAATAAATGCACTTCAATCACCAGCATTACACAATGAACAACTAAGACAGGTTGGTACGGAAAATGTATAGCGTTGACAACACGCAGTAAGTGCAAAGTGTCGGAAGAGCACTACACTCACCATGGTGGTGTGCTTCCCTGTCAGCACTGCAGAGTACTTTCCAGTCAGACTCTTCACTCTGGCCAGGACTGTGGAGATGAGCTCATCTGCCAAACAGACACGACGTTCCTTGTTCACGTCACAATGTGCGAGCGAATATTCACCAGTTACTAAACCAGTAAAACGCCTTTTGGGGCGACCAACGGAGCGAGCGAAAGGGTGGGCCATGCACGTGCCAAATTGCGAGGGGGCTCACCAACTTACTTGTGCACTGCACCCTACTAACCGGTCCCTAACCATGTACCAAATTTCAGCGCAACCGGTTCAACCGTTCTCGAGACCTGGAATCAACCCCTGCACGTGCACACGTGCAGCAGCATCCCAACTGTGGCGCATGGATTTGCGTGGGATTTGCATTACCTAGTGGACGCCTACCGGCATGCCAGCTTTCAGCGCAATCGGCCCAGTGGCCAGTACAGAGATATTGTAGTTACCGAGATATTGCAATTGTTACAAAACTGACACCTCTTCGTTTTGCACGTGGCACGTGCATACAGCATAAGGGGTCACCCACATGCATCGGGAATAGTCCAATACTTAAATGAAGGAATGAAGCTACCCTACAAAATTTACCGCATGTAAATCGGTTAAGTGGTTGCTGAGATATAAGCGTCGCAAAAGCGTGGCCACGGCCGGCCGGCCGCTCATACTAAAAAAATTCCGTTAATCTATGAAAGACTACGCTTGCTTCGCTCGCTCCGTATAAGACATTTTTGTTAGAACGAGTGATTATACCACACTGGTCATTATTTACCCGTATCGACGTTCAAAATACAGCCACTCAGCAATCAGAGCATAAACACCTTGCTGACAACGTGAATCACTGTCAGCGGTGTCCACTCTCCATCGTCTCCGCCCTAGGCGACACCGGCACATGCTGCGACCGGCGGCCGCTCCGAGGCAGACACCAGGTCAGAGCCGGAAGTTCTGGCAGCAGCACCGACCCCGGTCCAGTGGAGGCCGGCGACCCCCTCCCCACCGCCGCGCCGGGTGAGCACTCACCGGTGCGCCGGAGCGCCGCCTGCCGCTCCGAGGCCGCCCGCTCGCCGACGTACACCAGGAAGAGCGTCTTCTGGGCGCCGTCGGCCAGCTGCAGAGACTCCACGTCCTGCGTGTCGACAGTGACGCGCCGGTAGGCGTCCAGCTGCTCCGACAGCTGCGCAGCGCACCGTCACCGGTCAGCGGCGCCGCGGGACGGGGTCGGGGGTCAGCGGCGCACCGTCACCGGTCACCGACCAGCGGCGACCGGCGACGGGACGGGGCAGCGCGGCGGCGCAAACGCTGACAAACACTACAGGCGTCGCAGGCGGATTGAAGTGAGTCACCGATAGGCCGTGCGACGCCACTGCTGGTGTCCTAGGTTCAACAGATTTGCAAAACTAACCAACTACCATGTGACAGAAAGTTAGCTGCAGAGTGCAGGAAGTAGCACGGTCTTTGCTCCGCTCACCCCGCATGACACATACCTGAGACGGGTTGGACATGCTCGGAGTGAAAGCATTCAGGGACGATTCAAACTCCCGGCGCAGCTGCGGGAAGGCGCTCGGGTACCCGCTGAAGTCCTCGACGTTGAGCTGGCGGAACATTTCAGGCCAATGAATTATAGTGAGATACTAGCAAAAACAATCAATTGCTCTGCTGCTGCTGGTGGTGGCCAAAAATTCAAATGTATCTAACATTGCTCACACCTAATGCATTAACTAATTCAAAGAATTTAGTGAGAAAGGTCATACACTTTCAACCATGGTATGACAGAACTGCTGGTGCTATGCTCATATAGGTACACTCAGATAGAAAACAGCTGCGGCAGCTGTTAAAAATATTTTGCTTAAACATACATCTTATGACTTACCTCATTCATAATGAACATAACAAGAGCCTCAGAGTCCAGTGAATTGAGATGCTTTTGAAGCTGTGAATTGGACATTGCAGGAATAGCTGGCAATGCCTGAGCAGATGACCTGTAATGCATAGCAATAGTGAGTCATGACCAGGCTGGGGGGGGGGGGGGGGATCAGGGGGAGTCATGATTGGTCATGACACACTTTGTAGGAAATAGTGATGAGCTTGATAGGCATGAGTTTTCACATTGTGCACATTTTAAGTCATATAGTGAAGTAGATAGGCCTGCAAAATTAATGTCACTAGCTCTAATATGCAAAGTCTGTCTTTGCTTCACATCTCTTGTAGCAGCTGCTGCAGCATGTGGGGATTAGCAGCTGGCATATGCCTAACAAAATGTAATATAATGAACATTGCACACCTTTGCCAGACTGCTACTCAAAAATTGCATAGGGAACAGTTGCAATGGTCTTTGCTAATTGCCATATACACTAACAAACATTTAAGCAAAATGTGGGATAGGTATCATATGAACAGCTACTTATACTTACTCTGTGGACTCCCAGACAAGGACAGGAGCACTCTTGTCTGCCAGTGTAGTCACTGCCACTCCCAGCAGAAGGAGGACTTTTAATGACCGCATGACTTTTTTGTAAGCTGCTACTTCCTAAAAATGTATCTGAAATAGAAATAAATTATATACGTGCAATCATAAGTTCCTACACACTGTGACACTTGTAAAGCTTGTAAATAAATATGGAAAAATTAAGCATGCTAACATGAAAATGCCCATTTTAAAATATAAAGGGTGGGCAAATCAACTGGATCAATGGAAAACTCAGAAGTAATATATCTTGCAAATGCTTTCACAACACATTGGTAGGCATATGTAAAACCTTGCACAGGTTTATGATATAGTCAAGTTTTTTTTTTGACAAGGGAACTTTGTATGTTACCTCTTGCACCACAGAAAAGGTGCAGGGTCTTATGGAGCTATAATATATGGTAAGGTTAAGCAATAATGATTGCTCTTTAAGCAGTCTAAAGCTTGAATTAGCAATGCACATGACACACAATTTTATTTCTGGCAGAGAATATGGCAGCTTAGCTAATCATTGCAAGCATAAAATCTGAGATTCGTGTATCGATCACTCAGATCAGGGTTCAGAGTCAGCTGGAGTTAGTCAGAGACCAGAGTCAACAGTTCTGAATGAAGTCAGAATCAAATTTTGAAACAGGCAGAACCAGAACCACAAAAAAATCCAGACTCCTCAGAATTGGTAGGGCTGTGGAGCCTGAGTTGGAGTTGGTCAGAATTAACAGTTCTGCCCGGAGTTGAATTTGGAGCTGGTTTTCATTTTTTGTGAGCCAGAGTCAGAGTCACCAGAAATCCATTGACTCCACAGCCCTGGTATTGATATTCAAAGATTCTCAGAGTACAAAATGATGCTCTAGTCATATATCATGCTTTCCCTATATTATTGTCACAGTTACACACCACAACTTTTTAAAAGCAAATTCAGGATCACACCAATAACAACAGTAGCGGTGGAACACCTTCAAGTAAGGGTGGAGGGGCACTGCCGACTTTTGGTCCCATTCTTTCCATGCAACGCCCATAGGGCTAATGTTAAAATGCCAAAATCAAAGGGGGCACGGCACGGTGCCCCGGTGCCCTCCCCGTTCCAGCGCCTATGAATAACGATATGGGGAAGAATAATATGCATCAACCACCTATTTCATTTCCTATCAAATCAAACAACGACAGCGAAACTAATGCACCACTTCCTTCCAGTGAAATAATTTGCCAGTTACACAGGCAAAAACATATTTTAACTAATAAAAATGGATGAAAAACAGGAGCTTTGCAAACTTTTATGCTGATGGTGAAATGCCAGATCAACACATCAACTACAGGCACAGCATGATTATGAAAAATACTCATGACAAAAGCATAGGTACAAATAATGTTTTACAAACAAAATGATACAAATAATTACAAAATGTAAAAAAACTACAACGCTCACACCATGGATTACACACCAAACACACCCCAAACACAGACACATCACCACATACAAAATCTTCAGCGCCACCTTTCGTCGAAAACCGGCCACTCGATCTCGTGACTAGTGGTGGTAATATTTTTCGTGTGTCTTGAAAATATCAAAAAGATACAAGTTTTATGTTCTAAGTATGCCTAATAAACTGAAAAATAATTTTTAACATTAATCAGTAAAAACATGAAACAATGCGACGTATCACAGCGAGCATTTATGGCGCATTCACAGAACACCTCTAAAAGGATCACTGCCGTTTTATTGAGCGCACAGGATGTCCGTGAAGTTAGCGTCAGCCACGCTGCCACAGCAACTTCCTAGACCAGCGTCCCTTGACCTGACCTTGACCTTGACCTCAAACTTTAAATTAAGTACATGTTTTTGGTTGTTCGTGATGAGATCTTTCGATCGGCGTTTGAATTTTCCAAATCGGACCATTAGTTCGGGAGATAACAGGGCGGTGTTTCACGGGCTGCTGCTCAGGGCTGCGGAGTCGATGGATTTTCGGCGACTCCGACTCCGACTCCGACTCCGGCTTTCAAAAACCAGCTCCGACTCCGACTCCGACTCCGGGCAGAATTGTCGACTCCGACCGACTCCAACTCCAGACTCCGACTCCGCAGACCTAGCAGGGCTGCGGAGTCGACAGATTTTCGGTGACTCCGACTCCGACTCCGGCTCGGGTTTCTAAAATCGACTCCGACTCCGACTCCGACTCCGGTCACAACTGTCGACTCCGACCGACTCCGACTCCGACTCCGACTCCGACTCCGCAGCCCTGCTGCTGCTACCACGCTGCTATCAAATTGCGCGAGCTGACGTCACACTTGTGGTAGTGTTGGAGCAATGGGCCTGTTGATGTCTCCATGGAAACCCAATTTGACAAGTCGTAAAATCGGCGTGCTGCTATCACCGGTGAAACAGGGCCCAGGGGGGGGGGGGTAAAATTTACCTCCCCCCAGCCCCGCGCGTTCGGCTGGAGACCCCAGCCCCGCGCGGGTTAAAGGAAGGGGCGCGTCAAAAGTGCCTCAAAGGTTCGTCTGATCGCCAAAATAAGGGCGGCAATCGATTCCTCGGGTCAATCTAGCCGCAGCAGGGTTCCATGGATGTGTGCATCAATTACCCCTTACCCCTTATCGCCCTTAAAGGAAGGGGCGCGTCAGAAGTGCCTCAAGGGTTCGTCTGATCGCCAAAATAAGGGTTGCAATCGATTTCTCGGGTCAATATCTAGCCGCAGCCTTGGCCCTTGGGTTCCAGATTGAGGTGTACATGCATCTACCACTTACCCCTAGTTAATCGGCCCTTATTTTGGCGATCAGACGAACCCTAGATGCATTTTTTGACGCGCTCCTTCCCTTAAAGGAAATAGTTCACTTTTTAACATGGGTTTTGAACTGGAATAGCAGTTCCGTAGCTTGGGCTGAGACGAGCATAAATCAGGAGCTTTTACAGCCCAACGATCACCCTAGGCAAAGATATTCTATTTCTCGTCCCGAAAAAGGTGTCTTGCGTTGAGGATGTGTGCCTTGCATATATTTCCATCCAGTATGAAAAGAGCATGGGTCCCGAAAATTCTTCAGAAAGTAGAGAAATTATCTACGAGAACTCTAGAGAAATTCTTGTACTGATCAATTAGGACATTCAGGGGAACATTATCAGATCGAGCAGATCGCCCAAATGCCGGTGGCTGTGATAATTTCTCTGTTTCTGAAAAATTTTCGGGACCCATGCTCTTTTCATACTGGATCGCGTGTGCCTTGCAGAAACTGAAAAGTTCTTCCTATATCAAAATATAGAAAATAATCTTTTGTTATAAAAAGGTTTTATTTTCTTTGCTGATTATTTTGAACATAAAAAATCATAAATCCGTTGCAAAAAAAATAATTTCGTGAAAGTGAACTATTTCCTTTAAAGGGACTATCCCACCTTCTAAAATGTTGTTAAAACCAGTTAAATTGTGCCCGACTTTATGGATTGGATGATCAGGAACACGGTTCTGGCATTTATTTTTCATTAAACATCTTTGGCTTCCCATATTCCAAACACAAACTTTCAAATATGTGACGTCATAGCCCAAAATTACCTACTTCCCCAGGCCACATTACTGTCATAAAGCTGATTCTTTTTACTCTGTAGGCACCACAGCAAAGTTCAGACCAAGTTTTAAGCGATTTTTCAAAGAACAAACCCATTTAAATCAGAATGACTAAACGAGGTCGAGGTGACGTCACACTAACGGTCGCTCCATGCTGAAGATAGGACCTTGTACAGTAGGTCTACTAAAAAAGTCCCCCGCTCCAGAGGCGGCCGGCCGGCCGAACCCCCGGATTCCAGCCCCGACTCTATTGCGCAGGCCGCGGCAGCGACACGGGTCAGGTCGCGGCGCCCGGCGAGTGGGTCAGTTGGCGGCGGCCGGCCGTGGAGTGAGGACACCGTGTGTGGGGCGCAGAGATGCCGCAGTGCAGAGGAGGGGAAGATAATGACTGCACGATGCCGGAAATGATGCCTTTGTGATCTAAATTAAACACCTGCAGTGCATATCCTCCCTTGCCCCATTCCTATTTTATCATAATCCTTCAATAATCTGTAATGGTCATTCAGCGCAAGCAAGCAAACAAAACAACCCGTTTAGCGGCGACATCATCTCGGATAAAAAAGCGACAGTGATGATTAGAATAGACTTAGCGCGAGGGCAAATCGAGGGGTATAACTATATGTATCACATACCTACCGAGTATTTTATTCCCATCTAGCGAATTAAGATTGGGGATCTTGTCCAACAAGTCACCGGCCGTTCTAGACACAGAATAATGCTTTGTTTTCGGTCACATCATTATCTGCAATAATTTGAAGCGAGGTTTAACCCTCGCCGGCCGAGAAGAAGGGGTGGATGCCGTCACCATACATTCTTTTTGCGGTAGCTCAAAGCACACTGATGATAGAAGGCTGACATTTCACATGCCTTACATTTCATTCAAGCCGGATCACTTGACATCAACCACGTTTTCAGGTCAGGTCACTTAACTATGACGTCTTAGGTAAACCTCTGCACGGTTGTCGGTTATAAAATGATGCAATCCGTAATGCACTTAGTGTCGTATATAAGCATAATGGGGAATTATGGAAACTGTTATTTTGGCGTCGGGAATGATCTGGAACTATACCTCAAGCACATGAAATCGTGACTTCATACATTCTTGGCAAGGTCTAATGCTTCACTTTGCATTGTTCACCTTGCGTGACGTCATTTATGACGTCACTAGGGTCATAGGAGTGTTTCGTCAATAACTCCAGATCAAAATGAGCTAGCCAGTCGGGACAGCCATCAATGGACTTTGCAAGACTTCCCGAATCAAATGTTATGCAACATGTCCTCCTTTCAACAGCTTCGTGACCTGCATTGCCCTAACATGACATTGACCTGAGATAAACATCCTAAATTGCTTCACCTAAACAAAAAAGCATATAAATCGACGCGTCTGAGAACAGAAAACACGATTGTATCGAAATGACGATAATGCGTTTAGTTATTTACCAAGAACCGATCAAATGCCTTGGGGCCCTTGACCTGCCCTAAGAGGTCACTTATATTTTAAAATGGGGTGCCAGTCACTGCGTC